GAGAAACCTTTTAACTAGTCAGGGAATGCTGTAGTTTAGACAGATCAGTCACCCAGAATAAAGAAAACGCCTCTCAGATTCAATTAAATAGGGTTTTGGTTAAAAATATCCAGCTGCCAAATATGCAAACCATTTTGAATTGTATCTCATTAATGGATTTGCTAGATAGATACAGTAGCACAGAGTAGCTTTTCAGCAGAAAAGTTTTACAAAATATAGGTTGTTTCACATTATGGGAACAAAGGTGATAACAGTACAAGGAAAACATAGTCAATGTATAGGGCATGTAACCTCGAATGTCCAAATTAAGAATAAGCAGCGTAAAGAGGTATTTTCTGAGGTTAGAAATTTGCAGTCAGGCATGATTTTGGCTCTGGACGTTTAAGAAAACATTTAGTACACTGGCTGATTTTCAGAGAGTCAGTACAGATAGACACTAAAAGGGCAAAAAGGCACAGCCAGAGGAGAACATTAAGTTAGAACATCTAGAGGTGTATGGAGTCATTGCATCTGGAAGAGAACCAAAAAGTTAGAACTATTGGTAAGAAATTTTTCAGGTTTATTACCTGAAACCTGATATTTACATTTATTACAGTGTTTTAAAAATAACATATTATATAATACATATTTAATGAAAAATATCTTACAATTATGCTATAAATATGAACATTTGGGAATATCTAAGCCTTTGAAATACTTAACCAATAGAAATTGCACTCTGCATGCACTAATTGTGATCCTTTGCTTTATCTACCTGATCTCTGATAAAAATGAGAAAAGGAATTACTTTGCTAACAAAATTTCTAATATGAAAATAGATTATGTCATTTAACTTGCTGGCACTGGAAAATGTATTAAAATATAAAACAATAAAATTTTATTTTTTTTCCTCTGAATTTCAAATTATGTATTCCTCGGAAATATTAATATATAAAGGATGTTTCAGCAAATCGGTTAAAAACTTTTAGGAGAGATACAATACACCTAGACAAAAAAAAAAAAAAAAAAAAAAAAAAATTACAAATACATGGTCAGAAACGCTTTTCTTGCATGGTAGTGACAACACAAGAAAGGAAGGACACAAACAGAGCGAGAATTTATGTTTTTTATATTTAGTGCAGCAGAAACCAAGAAATAAGAACAAAAACAGATGATGATAATCAAAGAAGACGAAAGGTAGTGGTCCAGCAGGGGTGGTCCAGTGTATTGACCAGCTTGTTGTATGCATCGTGAAAGCTGCTGGGGAAGTCCGGGACATGCCCAGTATTTTCCAGAACATCAGATATGTGCTGGATATGCAAGGCTTGCGTCAGGGTCCGGGTCGTAATATTGAACACCTTCTTTGATGATGATCATTGTCTTATTTCTTAATTTCTGCTATACTAAGCAAGATACAGATTCATATAATAAACTTTATCTCAAGGAACTATTATGAACTGTTATAAATTATGACTGTTAGCCTACTATTATTATACCTATTATATCTACTATACTATTTATATTGTTATATTATACTATGTACTATTTTGAATATTACTTTAAAAATAAACCGTAGTGGGACTATACCTACATTACTTATAGTAAACATTGGGTGTCCCACTACATTTCCACCTGAACCTGAACCTGCTATACTAAGCATAATAAAAATGTTTTCTCATGCTGTTCATGTACTTTCTTTCTTGTGTTTTGTACTGCATGGTCAAAAAGGTCAGGAAAGCCGTTTTGACCATGCATTTCTATGCGATTTTCATTGTCTAGGTGTACTCTATCTTTCATGAAAGTTTGCAACTGATTTACTGAAACACCGTGTATATGTTAAAGTGCATGATAGCATATTATCGTTGCAGTATAATAATAGCTGAATAAAAATAAATTTTTAAAAAGAAAAATTTCATGAATTACTATATGAGCTAAAATACTGATATGATTGATGACGCTCTTTAAAATTATGAAACTGAAAAAGTTTGAATCTTTTAAAATTAATATATAAGAGAGAAGCATTAGATTAATGCTGCTATATATATATTTTCTATTTAAACTGTACACAATTTCTTATGAGTTTCCTATGGGTTCCAAATTATTATAAGGTGTTGACCTTATAATAATTTCTATTCTTTAAGACCATCATTCTGTGAATAGAATGCTTTATGTATGTATAAATGCACTAAATTTTTTGGGCTGTATATTCAGTAGTATAGAAATAAAGAAAATCTTGAGTTGACAATATCACACGATAAGAAATAAATCAGCCAAGTGTTTTGATACCTGCAATTTTCACATAGCAACAGATTCTATTACTAAAACACACATTAATACTATAGAATTTTACAAATTAGTAAACTTTCAAATTTCTAGTTATCTGATAATATAATCTAGTTATTTGATTTCTAGTTATCTGATAATATAATAATTAATATATTTGCTTCTCATACCTTTGCAAATGTGGAGTGAGAGTACGACTTGTAAAAAAAGATTTTTTCCTGTATTATTTTGTAATCTTTCATGCAAAATAGAAATATCATTACGATTTATGATGTCATATGTGATAATTAGTCAAACTCATTTTTTTAGTGTTGACTGAGTATCTGATTCTGAGTGTAGATTGATTATCAATCATTCTGATGTGATAATCAGTTAATACTCACCTCACTTAAATGCATCAGATGAGTTTTGATGTAATAATGTGAAACTGATGTGCATGATATTTCATGACAGAAAGACTCACCAACTTCCTGGCTACAGGTAAAATAGCAAATGCTGACCATTACTATCCAATACAGTCAAATACCAAAAATCCGCCGACCTGAAATCCGTGTTCCCTCTCAAAATATAAACATTTAGTTTATAGGTTCTGGAAACCACAACATTGAGTATGAAATATCCAAGAAAAAATATTTACCCAATAATGACGTCATAATTACCGAATAATAATGAGTCATAACGGAAATACCAAATTATTGACATCATGATAAAAGTCCCCCCCCCAATCTGCATTGAGGTAAAAAAGCAGACAATTCACTCAACTCTTCTTTCAAGTTCATGATTCACGTTGTTGTATTTTCTAAACTTTGTTATTTCACGAGATTATTTGGTGCTGCCTTCTTTTTTTTTTCCGGATATTCTGTGGATAAATTAAGAATATTTTAAATTTCAGCCCTTTCTAATACAATTACAGATAAGAAACGCACTCATGATTTTGCTACTTGCAACGTTGAAAAATATAAACACGTTGCATTGACGGTAATGCAAAAAGCGCAAATTCTGCAAAAGATGGAAGCAGGTGCTACTCCTCGGTTTATAGCAGAGTCGTATGGAACTGCGACACAATTGTGTATGATATATGGAAAAATAAAGAAAAGCGGTTGAAATTGTATAGCAACAGTTATTCTAACACCTGAATCCGAAACCGGAAATCTCTGCATAACTCAAAATCAGCAAACCTCGATGCTGTGCACATGTAATAATACAATGAATAATATAATCAATTTATATAATGTAATAATAATTTAATGCATACAATTAGTTATTGCAATACTGAATATAATAATTTAATTAAATGTATCTAATATGCCTTATTTATTTCGCACTTTTAGTCTAAATATTATGATTTATCTTTTCTGTCCTGAAATCCGCACAACCTCTTGTCCCAAGCTCTGCGGATTTCTGGACTTCTACTGCATTGCAGAAACTGCTACATATCCTCCAGAACAACAGAGGCAAGATACTCAATGCAGGCTGTTGTGTTGATCTGTGATAATGCTCGTCCACACACAATTCAAAACAAAGTACATTTTCTGTAGGGAAGTGTTTAACTATACATCCTACAGTTTTTGATCTTGCTCCTAGAGATTTACATCTTTTCTTACACCTAAAAATACTACTGTCTGGCCGACATTTTCAAATTCATAAAGAGAAGCAGATGATTGAAACATATTGGTTCTGATCCTGGCAGAGGAATTATATGAGAGAGAAATATAAAAATTGATTCCTATGATAAATATTTCCATTTCAACGAAGAATTATAAATAAGTATTTCCATTTCGATGAACTGTTGAAAAGTAGCTCAACAACTGCTACATTTGTTCGAATAAATGTTTCCATGTAACTAGAGAAACTTACGTTCAGCATGCAGCTCATACTTGCAAACTTATCAAAAAAAAAAAAAAAAAAAAAAAAAAAAAGGGACTCTTTTTAAAATGCACATTTTCCTGACTTTCCCTGATCCTTCACATGAGAGAAAAACCTAACATATTACATATTACTACACAAAATAAATAATTTAAAAACACCTAAATTTTTATAAATCTCTACATGTAATAAAAGAAAGAGTCTGCATGTGTCTTTCGTTCATGCTGCACACAAGCTAATAGACCCAGTACTACGAAATTTGATACATAGGTGCATCTAGACAACAGCCAGTGCATCTCGAAGTGATTTTTTCAAAATTTGAATTAGATTTTTTTAAATTTTATCTTTTTTGATGAAATCCCATCATTTTGAATAGTTTCATTCTTTCAGAAATATGGTTTTGGCAACAGTTTTTCATTCAATGCTTTATATATTGGACTGCTGACTGTTGAAAATATGCACTGTTGCCATTTGGAAAAAATGAAGGTGATAATTTTGTTCAGTTTTTGAATTTAATGTTTCTCTTGGATATTGGGCATTTGTTGAGAGAAGGCAACGGGAAGCTCGTTAATTTATTTATTAGGATAATTAATATTAAGGGATATTGCTTATTCCATTGTAACTTTTTTATACGTAATACATTTTTATTGAAATTTGTGTCTTTTTTTTAAATATATATAAAGTTGTTCTGCAGAGTAAAATTCTGTGATGTTTTTTAATTTAATGTTTGGTGTTCCTTTTAGGCATTTGTACGGCATTTGTTTGGTGTTCCTTTTAGGCATTTGTTTTAAATACAATGCCTAAAAGGCATTGTATTTAAAAACGAAACGAAGGGTGGCCATATAGCAGATACTACTAAATAAAATATAAAATTTATAGTGTATAAAAATTTATTAAGTATACAAATTCAGCATATTTACAAAGGCAGACTTATGCTTTACTTATTCTGTCCCATCGCCATACAGTACCATCATCACAAACACATAATAATATAGAACCATCTTTATTCAGACTTGTCTGACGAATCGGGCTGTTGCATTTGGGATGGGTGAGAACTGTGCATCTATTAAAATAGAAAATTTATCATCATAAAAGTGTGAAACACACTGATAAAAATGAGACAAAATACATTAAAATATTATGAAAACAGACATTAAAATAATTATAAAAATTACAAAGACACGTCAACTTGCCAAAATCAAAAATCACTAAACCTTTTCACTAAATACTATCTTATTAATATCTAAAAGGTGGAAACTATAAATATTAAAACTGGTACAAAAATACTCAGGTATTTCAAAAGTATTTCTATTAATTTCAACATTTCATAAAAAAATAATAGTGCAACCTGTCTTCACACAATTAAATATAATACAATATACATATGGACTAAACAAGTTGTAATGTTTTCATCAACTATGCACTTTTCAATTCATTTAAAGCATACACAATTCTAAGTGGAAAAAATATTATGTACAAGAATTTCCTGCACAAAGTGGTCTTTTAGTGAATAGAAGATTGTGAAACTAATTGTACAGAACAAGATGATAATCTACCTAATTTTGAATCCACAAGAAGAATATCCAGATTATACCATCTCGGAAGACTGTCAAATTTCAGAAAAACCTAAATTTATAAACTTAGTGACCAGTGGTCAAAGTGTAAAACCCCAAAGACAATGTACACTTTGTGCAGTTAAAGAAAAAAAAAAGTAGGACATGTTTTATCTGTAAATTTTGCAATATTCCACTATACAAAAAGAACTGCTTTGAATAACATCATATTAAAAAATACTAAAATACATACTAAAAAAATATTAAACTATTTCTTATTTGAAGCATGTCAATATATGGATTATGATGTATTATATAACTATTTAACTGAAAACCATTGTAACAGTTAAAATGAATATAGTGTTAATTAATATCATGAAAAAAAAAAGATTTTATTAAGTCTAATAATCTTATAATAACAATAGTAAGAGATTCTGGATTCTTCAAGAAAGAAGCATCATAATTTTGCTCAGAGCAATTGCCATGCAGACCTGTTTTTGAAGAAAGTGTTTTCAGTATATTAAGATTTATACAGAACCTAAAATTAGTCCTTGTTTTAATAATAATATTGAAAATTCTCTCATTCATTTGAAGATTTAGCAAGATGACTAACATTATTCAGCATATATCGGCAAGTTGCCCGATCACTTGTGTCCATTTTCTATCTTGTGCTTTCCCCCATAACATTAGTGCATTGGTTTTGGAAGTTGTTAAATGACATACCAAGCATTCTTTTGAAGCAACTATAGTAGCTTTTTTATTTGAATGCACCTTTACTTTCCTTTCTTTAGCTACTGATACTCGCACTTACAATCCTATCCTAAGTGGAGAGTGCACAAAGGGGGTGAAGCTGCACAAATATCCCCAAGAGTAATCACTTCATTTAAGTAGGTTATTATTAACATTCTACTTGGAAGAAATGAAATATATTCCAACAGAAATTCATATACACATTTCAGATGTTTGATGGGAACAGATTTTGGCCCCTACGGATGCAAAAGAGTTAAAAAGTCTGATTAATTTTTAAACTTAATTTTTATCACTTTTCACACAATTTTTTATTATCCTCATAAAGTTCTTACATAAAAACACATAATTTTTTTCTCTTTAAATAACTTTTTTCTACATTTCTTAAATCTTTACATTTAATGCTTTTTGAGCAGGAAACACCTGTCACTCAGCTGTTTTGAAAGAAATTAACATGTCAGTCTAATGAATGTGCAATTTGCCTTTCTACTATTAATATAGAAAGACCTTTTAACCATTTTTTATTCACTGAAGAATGTAGATAATTTTTTTAACACCTTTAGCTTTGAAAAACTGCATTGTGCTGAGGCCACTGACATTACATGCACACACAAATTTTTATTGCAACTGACACATTTGGAAAAATGTCTACCGAATTCTTTTTGTAAATGTACTGTCAAACAACTGCTAGCAGTTTGTGGTAACATAGGGGACAGCACAACTCTGCAGCAAGATCGAACCATTTATATCTTCCGAGTTTTATTTCACTTCACTTAGAGAATTTGTTTTGGGGTAAACAAAGTCTCTAAGTGACCTTCTTACAGCTTCTATTCAGGTCTTTATTGCTTTTTTGGCAAGTTCTTAATACCACAAATGACATTAAACATATCAGAAAAACGACTTATATGCTCAAATCTTTCTTTCAAGGACATACGAGCAGTGTCTATTACAAAATTAAAATTTGACATATAATTGATTTAATAAATATCTATAAAACATTCCTTACGCAAACTACATAAATTCTTATCTACAATTTCTGGCCCAGGTCTCTTGAGTTGATTACGCATTGAAAATTAAATGTTTCCAATTTTTTTTGGATATGGAAAACAGCCAATTTATTATTTTCATCTGAATTTAAAGTTTCTTCTACTGTTTCCACCCTTTTCTCATTTAAATGTTTTCCTAAGTAACATGTATTATATTTATAAGCTCTATAACACTATATTAGTCTTCTCCTTTTGTGTTCTTTAAAACTGGTGATTTTTTACTAGAATCAGTTATTGGGAGATTTATTTTAATTTCACTAAAGTCATTAACTTTATTCCTCATAAAACTGGTGATTTTTACCAGAATCAGTTATTGGGAGATTTATTTTAATTTCACTAAAGTGATTCACTTTATTCCTCGTATCATCACATTGTTTACTCAGTCACACTGCAATCTCACATTTTGTTTAAAATTTTATTTAATTTGCCTGCCTTGATGTGTGATTTAACAAATTTATCTTATACTTTCTCTCTTCAGACTTTGATAAATATTTTCTATCCATGTAGTATACCTGCTATAAATTATACATAGGCACAATCTATGGTCAACAAATACAAAATTTTTTCTCAGACATAATTAAGAAAACAAATCACAAATCTTTAAACAATTTCAACAAACACATGAAACTTTCATAACTTAGGAATTCTAGATACACGGAGGATTATTTCAATCTTGCTTTGTGTAAACTGGCTGATGTGCACCAAATGCCATGCAGCCAGTTCTTTAATGGGATGATCTAGTTCCATGGCGGCAAGCCTATGACCCATGTGTCATAGACACTGACCCATGAAGGCTATTTAGACCCACTAATTTTTATTAACTTATTTTTTATCATAAAAAAGAGAAGAGAAAATTGAAAATATTAAAAAAAATTAGATCTAATGTCGAATTTACAAAACAAATATTTTCAAGTGCATATTGCTCAAATGATTTTCTTTCGTGTATCCCTCAACACACAGCCACGCATCTCTCAGCTTCTTCCATGATTCATTACAGGTTACAATTTTAAATGTGCAGGTGCCTAAAAAATTGTTTGATGTGGCATGTCTAAGGTTTGTGTATGAAATTGCTACAAAAACATAGATTTCAACGATAAAGGTAGGACGGTTTTTTGTGGATGTAAGATTAATTATTTTCTGATTTCTTATTTTTTTAAAAACTGTTTCTAAACTATTCCAAAAAGGTTTTCTCTCAAATTAAAACTGTAATAAATTAGACAATGTTTCAATTCAGAAACCATGATATCCTTTAGCCAATAATGATTCAAATACACTGACATTAAATCAAGGACTGTAAGTTAATAATTATTACTCATCTGATAAACTTATAATAATGTTGATTTTCATTTCGATTATGTTGGTAGTTTTACAACTTCGTGACATGAATAGAATGAAAATCTTTACATGTTGTTTAAAATCTTGACTCAATGTTAGAAATGTGTAACAACATTATGCATAGCGCACACTATAACTACTTGTCATTGATAAACATTTAACATAAACCGGCTTTAGTGATTCAGACTTTTGATAAAAATGCCTTTTGCATGGAGTGTTTTTTCAGGTTGAGTAAATGGTATTTCTTGAGAATTGAGGAAATCATTAAATTTGCAGCATCATCACAATATAAACTCTTTTGCAAAAAAATCGAAGCACTGTGAAAGAAGTGGTTGTTTTTGATGAAATTGAATATGTGTATAGGTCATACACAGATAATAAAATTATTTAAAAATCAAGGTCATAGTACCTGTTCATGGCTCACAATCACCCATTGAGTGTTCCAATTAGTAGTTGGTCGAATCGTCCCTGGCGGCAATGCATGCTTGAATTTGTTGAGGCAAGGAGTGGTAGAGGTTCCTAATGTTATCCTGCGACACATTCATCAGTTATCAATAACTGATGTTGTCACTACAGATCTGCAATATTTTATGGTGCCCGAATCTGGTGGCGTACTATGTCCCAGACATGCTCGATTGGTGAAAGGTCTGGTGATCTTGCTGGTCAAAGAAAGAGTATCAACTGCACGCAGACAGCCCAGAGATATGACAGCGATATGTGGCCTGGCATTATCTTGTTGGAAAATGGCCCCAGGATGATGTGCCATGAAGGGTAATGCAACCGGCAGGAGGATGGTATCAACATATTGTTGAGCTGTTAAAGATGTAGAGAGGATGACTAAAGATTACCTGCTATCATAAAAAATAGCGCCCCACACCATCACACAAGGGTTATGGCTGTATGCCTTTGTAAAACAAAGGCTGAATGGGACCGCAGGCCCCGTCCTCTCCAGACACGAACACGGTGGTCATCTGCTTCAAGAGTGAAGCAGGATACATAGATGAACACTATACGATGCAAGTCTGATGGCAGCCATGATGGTCGGCTACGACACCACTCCAGACGACACCGCCGATGTTGTGGGGTCAGAGGCAAACGTCTTAAAGTCCTCTGTGAGCATAACCCCGCATCAGACAAGCGCCGTTGAGATGATGGATGGTACCACGGCAGGTATAGACCTGGCTGTAGTGTGTTGAATTGTCAACAACGATACCGTTGGAGCGGTTTGGGCCTGGCGAATAATCATCTTATCTTGCCTTGCAATTGTGCTCCTTGGCCTTCCAGAGCCTTCATTTTGTCGGCAATTTCTTTGTAGCAACCACTATTGCAACATCTTTGCACAGCAGTGTCTGTATGCTGTAGGTGGTGGCCTATTGCTCCAT